CGCTCTCGCTGCCGGCCGACGGGCCGTGCCGGGCCCCGGGCCCCTGGCGGCGGCAGTGGCCGGCGTGGCCCTGGTAGGAGCAGCAGCGACCTGGCACCAAGGCCGCGTAAACGTCGCGGCGCGCGAGGGCAGCCTCACAGTCTTCGCACAGGTATCGGGCGGGACCTTCCTGCGAGCCTCAGCCACGCTCCTCCCTGCTCAGACGGCCCTGGGTGGGGAGGAGTTTGGAGCTGGGCGGCCGCGCCTGTCTTTCCGAGCTGGCGTGGGGGCGCTGCCCGGGACAACCCCGGCAGGTGGGACGTGCTCCTTCCTCCGCACGGGCCCCCGAGGGTATCCGAGGCCCGTGACGGGAGACTCAGCCTCCCCTGGGAGAATCCCACGGAAGCTGAACGCCACGGACAGCAAACCGACCGCACAAATTTGGTGGTGATGTGTGGGCGTGTCTTAACTCAAGAGTCTTAATTCAGTTTTCTCTCCACACCTCGTCCTTCCTCCCTGGTGAGTGAAGTGGCGTGCGGGTTGCAGGCGTGTGCGTCCGGTCCCCACCCCGACGTACCTGTGCGAACCTGTGCAACTAAAAGCTTTACGACCGCTTCTTTGTATTGCATGGTGAAGTTGTCCTAGTGGGTAACTTATTTTTTAGTCATGAAAATGTCAGTCATAAAAGTTAACCAGTCGATAATTTCCAGATTTTATCAATTCTAAGGAACATTATTACATAGTTATAAACCTTAGTACTTTGATGGACCGCAAGAACGAAGCAAAAAATATTTTTGCTAAAACTTCCATCTGTTAAAGGCAAAGGTCAAGAACCCTACTTCAAGATAAGTAATATTGCTATGTAAAACATTTAAAAATTTGAAAAAGAGTACTACCTTTAATATATTTTATACAGATTTTAATAAGTTTTATATGTGAATTTTTTTGAAAATTAAAAGTAGTATTTTATTCTTTTTCTTTATTTGTTAGATTTGTGTTATGCCTTTCTAAGGAAGAACATAAGGGACATTCAGATACAATAAAAGAGAGGAAAACAGGCCTTGTGAATTTAAGTATTGGCAAATGATGTTTTTATTTGTATTAAATTAAGATACTGCTAGATCATACATGCAATAACTCTCACCCATCCATGCTCACATCATTTCTGATCACAGGTGGAAGGATCTATCTTCTAGTGTTCCATAGCATTTTTGTTAGTTCATCTTGCCTCAGGTAATTCAATTTATTATTCATCATTGATTTCTCTCCCTTTAATTCATCCTGTTTGGAATGCTTAATCTTACCCAGAATATTGCTTTAACCACACAGTGTACCCTTCTTCAGAAATCAGTAGTGCTTCATTCTGCCTAGTATAAAATCCACATTTTTGAACTTTGAGAGCCCTCTGTAGTCACACTCAGAACCTTCCATCCTAAGTGATTCATTCACTGTCCCCAGATGATGACTTAAATCCCCCCCCCCCAAGCCCTTAGCAATTTGTAGATTCCGATTTCACTTAATCTCAGTGGGGGTTTTTTCTGACCCACTTTTAGTCTGTTAATGTTTTGAATTCCTGACTTGACTCTGAAAATTTCTCAACAGTGTAATAATTTGGTTTCTCTCCCCAATTCTGTCCCCACTATCCAGCAACTTTGTAACTTTCAGCCTAGCTAAAGTAATACAGAAACCATTTTATTATCAATTGTTTTATTGGGTCTGTTGACACAGCATTTGCTTGATCTGCTGTTGGACCAATTTAAGACAGTGGCTCTCATCCTTCTGCTACCACAGTGGACATTCCTCTCAGCAGCAGAGGCTGAATACTGGAGAGAATGAGGGGGCCTTAGAGAATTAGTGATCTTTCATCTCTGGATACAATTTTATTTTATGAGTTCATATAGTTATAATTATTTTACTCAGTATCACAAGACGATAAAAATCTTCCTGCTATGGATCTATAATAATAGTGATAATGTCTTTCACTTTCAATCATCACACCAATTGATTTTTCCAGTAAAAATAGTGAATTTATATTAATGGAATCCTACACTTTTCTGGTTCCCATTTGTGAGGGTCAATCACAAATTAAAGATAGAATTCCAGGTCATGAAACAGCAGATAAATTGGGATCTCCCTTCTTTTTTCCTTCCACGGTTATTGAAATCCTGCTTTGTGCCAGGCAAAGTGCAAGGAGTGGTATTAGAGACACAGTTCATGTGCTTACCGATTAACGGGGGAGGGAGATTTTAATAGTGTGGTAAATGCTATTGTAGGTGTAAATGCTGGGTGCTGTGGGAGTACTGGAAGAGCACCCAACGCGGTTTTGATTACTTAAGTGAATAATATGTAAACTGACACATGAAGGACGATTGGGAGTTTGCTGGGCAAAGAGAAGGGGAAGATTGTTGCAGGCAAAGAGAATAGCTTTGCAGAGGTCTGGAAGTAAGATTTGACTCAGCAGAATATGAGCTGCGATAGATGAGGTTCAAAACTGTGTGAGTGATGGCCAGGTATCAGATCATTAAGTGCTCCTTAATCATGTGACAGGCATTTTTTTCTTGAGGGCAGCAGGAAGCCATTATAAAGGTTCTTAACGCTCATGAACCCCCACAGATCCACGCACAGAATTCAGGGGGTCTGTGAACTTAGATAGAAAAAGATTACATTTTTGTTTTCATTGACCTGTAATTTAATGTTTTCATCAATTAGAAACGTAGGCAACGGGCCGGCCCGGTGGCGCACTGGATAGTGCGCCGCTTGAGAAGCGCGGCGGCACTCCCGCCCGAGGGTTCGGATCCCATATGCAGACCGGTTCCCGCTCACTGGCTGAGCGAGGCGCGGGAGCAACACCGAGGGTTGCAATCCCGTTGCCGGTCCCCGGTCCGGTACGGGGGCAACACTGAGGGTTGCGATCCGTTGCCGGACACAGAAAAAAGACAAAAAAAAAAGAAACGTAGGCAACAAGCTACAGTAGTATTATAGTTACTGACATTGTCATCAATAGAAATCTCAGATATTTCCTCATATCATAGTTGTTACAACTATCTCAAGGTATCACATTTTCAAAATGAGAGTACTTATTCAACTTGCCACCACATGTTATTTAATGCATAAAGAAGTACATATATTACTATATCACAAATTTGGTTTTAACCTTTGGGAAGAGTATGGAGACTTTAATAAAGGGAGTGAATTGAAAACTAAAGTTAGGGAGCTGTTGCAGTAATTCAGGAGAGCATTGATCAGAGCTAAATTAGTGGATAAATTTGAAGGACACCTAAGTATAAATTTCTAAGAAGTCTGAGTTACAGAAGTCTTGCATAAAATGTAGTTGTATTGTTTCTAGTGATTACAACTGGGTAACAAAATATTGCCTCCTGCAAAGAAATTCTTAGTAGAATTTGCTTTAGAGCATGTCAGCATATAAGTTACTTCTATGTAAACTGCTTCTAAAACACATAAGAATATTTGAAAACTGTTCTAAGATTTTCATTATTATTCCCATTCCAATATTATTGTATTTGATTCAAGCATAGTAAAATCAGATCAGAATTGATAGGAGGAGGGAGACAAAATGTTATTCTGTTGTTCAGATCCATTCTGCTCTAAAAGGATAGCTGCATTCTTAATGAACCTTGATATTTTTTAAAATATTATAAAACGTTATTTTAGTAGGTGTGAGAAATGCCCTCACCTATCCAGTACAAAAGGATGGATGCGGAGACACAAGGTACAGCAACTTTAATTGCGGCCTTGCAAGGTTCAGGTTTCTGAAGGACAGGCATGCAAAAAAGGGCTGTAGCAAGCAATTTATTCCCTAGTATGCAAGTCCCTCCCCCCAGTTCCTCATTGGCTGAGAGTACTACGGGGTGCACAGTCTTACTGGATGACACCTAAGATTTATTACCCCGATTTATTACCTCCTTATAAGAAGTTTCTTTGTCTGAGGACTCAGTACAAGCTCACAAAAAAGGCCCACTAAAGCCCTGTGAAAGGAGAAACACCAGGGAAAGACAATGGGGCTAGTAACTAATTACCATCTCATGGAGAGCTCTATCTGTTCAGCAGCCCTCCAGGAATGGGCTGGACCAGTCAGACAACTTTCAGACTGGGCCTGAATCATTTCAGTTAAAACACCCTCAGATAAGTCATTTCTGAAAATGAATCACTTAGATTATTTTCTTACAGTGGGGAAAGGGGTTAGGAGTTAGAGAGTTTTAGAGTTGAAATGGCAAAATAAATTTTTCCCCCTGCAGGAATTTCAATAATAAAAGAGTTATGGCTATTATTGTATTTTGTTATTACCAGCTAGAAATAATATATTGGTAAACCAAAATCAATGAAAACAGATAAACAAACCTCCGTATTGCTAAGTAAATCCTCAACAGCATGTAAAATCAGACTAAAAGTAAACTTTTCTGAACCTTTGGTGTTATGTCATAGTAATAATAAGGCCCAAAACTTGGCAGCAGTGGGGAGGGGAAGTAAAGAAAAAAAACAGTAAAACCAAAGTAAAATGCAGTATAGTTCACAGTTAGCAACAGTGGTGGTATTTTATTTCTTCTTATTCATTTGTTAATTGCACAGATATTTCATCTGTTCCCTAAATTTTTGGGTTTTTGGCTTTACATTAATTTTCTTTTTAAATTATATCTAATATTGGATACAATGGGTTTCCCTGACTTCATAACAGGTTTTTTTTTTTTTGCTGTTTGATTTTCAGTGGAGAATTTGTCCAATACTGTTAAAAAGTAAAATTATTTTGCATAACCTAGTCTGTGACACTGTATTTTTTAATTCTAAATAAGTCCAAATTCCTTATCATTAAAATTCATTCACATTTGATTTCCTTTTATACATTTATTTATCTTTGTATTTATAAACCCTTAAATTTTTTTCCCCTGTTATCATTTAGTTGGTTTTTCTTTTCTCTTGTTGTGCTTATCACTCTTTTACATTATTTTATCTAGTTATTTAGTCTTCTCATGCTAGAATGGACTCTTGTCTGTCTTTTTTATCTCTGTATTCTTAGGGCCTAGACTAAACACAGTCACACAACGGCATATAATAAATGTTTATCCAAAGAGCAAATGAATGAACTGAACTGAATTACATTACATGGTGACCTTGTCTATTTTTGGTTTGATTGGCATTTATAACCAGTATCTAGAA